TACATATTTGAAAAACAAAAATTCTTAGCTGCACGAATTCTTTCTGACTGGTAATGTGTACATTTTTTCTCTTTTATCTCTTTTGTTATTTGAGTTGCATTTAAAATAAAAATTTTCGGGTAATTATTCGTTTTGCTTTCTATACATTGTTCATCGCATGCACATTACATAATCACTTCTTTGCTTTTCGCTGCGCTTATTTGTGGCTCGTTTTAGGCTGAGCACTCGGTACAGACTGGTTTGTTCTCTTCAACGGCGAATATACTCGCTGTGATAGGGTTGGCGCATTTCTGAAAATGAATAAAAATGGATAGAAAACTTCATTCTCTTTTATTGTTTCAATGTAGTCATTCACCTTGCATTTAAAGCAGTCCCTATGCCATTTGGCATTTAACGCCACAATCGCATTCTCTGTGATAGGTTTTGTGCAGCCAGCGCAACGTGCCGCAAAGAGTTCCTCAAAGTCCGTTTTACAATAGGCCCGGCCATCGCGCTCGTAGAAAGACGTACCGACTAGGGGTTTGTGGCATGGTCCGCCACACACAAAGCAATCCTCATGCCATGTTTGGCCCAAAGCTTTAATTGTGCGCTGAAAGTGAGAAGAGATCAATTTAGAAAAAGGTAATTTTGCNATTTAGTACATTCAAGGATTTTCTTCGCGGAAATCGAATGAAAATGCTGCCAGAAAACTTCAAAATGCATCTTGTGGTTCAATGTTACTACAACTATACAAATTAAAGTTTTATGAGTTAGAAACTCGTATAATGAAACTAGTTCATAGTTTTTCTCTTCTTATTTGTAATATAAACATTTCTAAAAAAAATATATTTTTTGATTGTTCTTCGTATTTTCTGTCTTTTTTTAGTGCCTTATTTTGCTTTTTTTGCAATACCTTTTTTTTTTGCCTTTTCCTGCCTTTTTCGCTATTTTATTTTGCCTTTTTTATAATACCTATGGCCTTTTCCTGCCTTTTTCGCTACTTTAGTTTGCCTTTTTTATAGGTTTTTAGGTCCTAAAAATCCGTTCCCTGATTATGACAAACACATTCCAGTTATCATTTCTTCCAGTACAATTTTGCATACCCACAGAGTTAGAAAATCATACTCATTCGAAAACGCCCTATCTATCATAATATGTTATAGCGAGCTCACATCATTCCAAACACTTAAATGTCTGCAGAGAACAATCGGTTCCTAATAGATTGCATCATTTTTTTAGCAACATGCCGATCTTCTACGAAAACCCAAAATCCGAATCAGCACCAACCGGTAAAAAGGGGTAGTCTTAGTGATAGAACTTTTCATAAAAGTTTTGATACTAGTACTCATATAGAATACTCTAAAAAAGTATC